TTGTTTGTTTTCCCTCTAGTGTGGGTTCTTTCATAAGATGACCAGCCTCTGTAACAAAAATGGATTTTCAGTGTTGGGGCGGATACCACCTTTGGTATTACATGCGTTAATGCAGCCCCTTTGTGTCAGCGTTTCTCAACCGCAGTCAGTGAGTTGTGTTTCCCGTGGGCAGTGTGATGTGACTGTTTAGCTGCACAGACAGTGCAGGCCGAGGAGTGTGGGGGGCGGTGTCATTGGTCTTTGTGAGCACATTCACCACCTGCGAGCATCACACACATTGTAGAATAAAGACACTCAGCAAGCCGTAACCCCACACGCATTCCCGCCACTCTACAAATGGAATGCTGACTCACTCTGTCTTGAATGGAAGACTGTGAAGTTTTACCCACTAGCTTTACACATTCTCTTGTGTTTTTCCCTGAAAAAGACCAGGTATTACTATGGTCTCAAAAGCTTTTTGGGTCTTTTGGGTCCTGCATGAGAGAGGTGTCTGTCCACAGAGGATCTAGCTCTTATAACTAAAAATGGAAACTTCTGAGGCTTTAAAAGGCATTGTATCCTTTCTCTCTCTGTAGAAAGCAGCCACAAAAGTCAGTGCATTGCAGTTAAATTTCTTTTTAGTGCCAAAGGATGAACATGTTGTGGGACTATTAAAAGGAAGCCTGGCTTTCATTAGATTGTGAATCGACTGTAATATATTGTTCATGGAGGAGTGCAATCTATCTCTGTAGTGGGCCTTTGTGGCATGGCCTGTCAGCAGGCGGACTTGCCGGTGATCTAACTGACTAATGAGGTAGGGGCTGCCCTGTTACCAGCTTATCATTTCATGTTGGCCTGTTTATATAATGAGCTTTTAAAGGACAACACTGATTCAATCGAATTGGATGCTATTACGTGAAATCTAATGTATGTGTAAAGGACAATATGTTACATACAACATGCCTTTATTTATGGCATAAAATCCAGAATATCTGTTTTGTGTAAGGAGAAAGAAGGAAGGAGAAATAGCGTTAGCCCCAAAGAGGGAGCCCCACATCTGTCAGTCAGAGTGGACATGTGCAATCGTGGGAAGTCTAAGGTGGGAGCTCATTCATGGTCACGGATGCTGATTGGAAGTAAAAGATGCATTCAATAGATAGATACAGGGTAAATGAGGAAATAGCTCTGGGGTTTTGGTGGGAAAATAACCATTTAGACTCTAAGCCTTTTAAAGGTAAGGGGCGCTTTGGTGGCCTTTCTCTAACACTGGAGATAGAGATTATATTTATTTAATTATCATTGAACAAGCACTGCTTCTGTAACAACACCCTCTATTGATCAGAATAAGCAACTTTCCCCTTTTATTTTATTTTATTTATTTATTATTTATTTTGAAACAGTCTCACTCTGTCGCCCAGGCTGGAGTGCAGATGGCACAATCTTCGCTCCCTGCAACCTGTGTCTCCCAAGTTCAAGCAATTCTCCTGCCTCAGCCTCCCACGTAGCTGGGATAACAGGCACGCGCCACCACACCCAGCTAATTTTTTTGTATTTTTAGTAGAAACAGGGGTTTTCACCATGTTGGCCAGGCTGGTCTTGAACTCCTGACCTCAAGTGATCCACCCACCTCAGCCTCCCAAAGTGCTGGGATTACAGGTGTGAGCCAGCGCACCCGGCACCCCTTTTATCTTAGTTATTTCTTTCACCAAAGAAGAGCTTCTGATTTTGAAATCTTTCATGTCCAGCAAAGGTTGCTCAGGACCTAGTGAATGCAGCCATCCTACATCAGCTACAGCACCCGGATTCAGGCCCCTTACCTTGCCCCACCTTCCCAGGGATTCCTACCCATGCAACAGTTCACAAGTATCATCGTCTTTCTTGTCAGTGTTCCACGGTTTCTAACACGCTCACCTCTCCTGTCCATTCCTGCTCATTTGAGGCTCAGATTGTGCATGACTGACCCCGTGAAAATGGGAATTTCCAAAGTGCAGTTAGAGTTTCACCCTCTGTGTTATCCATCACTCTTGGTGATGGCTCAGGAGGTCCCCACCCCATGGCTTCTGCAGTCTGTTTCATGTACATCCCCTCCACTGTTCTGGGAGCTCCTTGGCGGCAGGAAGAGAGGCTTATTCAGCTCCAATCCCTCATGGCTGACATGTGTTCCATGAATGAATGAATGGGTTGAGTGAAGGAGAGGTGAGTGTATATGTGAGTTGGGAATGAAGAGGCCTAGAAGACAAGTGTTCCATATCACAATTGCCTGTGAAGCATTATGTGTTTCTGAGACTACCACGGAGAAGGCATCCCAGCTATTAGGATCTCCAGACAGCAAACATGCTGAACTCAGGCCTAACTCATGATACAGTGAAATGCCCCAGCCTGCACAATGGCAGGCACCCGAAGATGTGAACCACACTCAATACACCAGGCGACCAACCACTTTTCATATGAGTTTCTACTATAGTAATTTTCAATATAGTTCATTGAAAAGTAAAGGGCAATAGTGGTCCAATTTGTGATAAGTTTCATGGGAAATGGACATCTTCACATCCCAAATGTAAGCCCATAGAAAGGTGTTCAAGAACCACGAACGTATTTGATGTCTATATTATGCAAGATAAAGTCTTGGAAAGGGCTCTTAAATACTTTTACAAATATTAAGTTAATTAAAGTGCTAACCGAGGCCTTGACAGAAATTCAAAAGACAATGTAAGTGGTTCTGAATAAACTAAAATAAATGACAATAAAGTTTCATTTGACATTCTTGGAAAAACAAAAGGATTTGTGTAAGCGAATACAATTTAATTTGTGGCAGATTTTGTTTCCGATTCAAAATCAGAAAGAATATTTAAAGCTATAAATAATTGATAACACATTTGATAAAGTACCTGAAAATTGTACAACTAAGGAATTCTTTGGTTTTTCAGAAAATTCTAATTTTTAGTTTATCTCCTAAAGTGTCTCTTTTAGCAGTGTCTGTCACCTTCTCTCGTAATCAGTCTCAGAATCAACTTACCCTCCTTTTATGCAAATTAAGGACAATGTGATTGCCAGCTACTTGTGTGCATGCTTGCGTGTGTGTATGTGTGTGTTTGCCATAGCCACTCCTAAAATAAAACTTTCATTATTTGGAATATTTAATGATTATATATATCTCAAAACATTTATCCAGAGAATACAATTTAAGACAGATGCTTTTTTCCTATTGATATAAAATATGTGTTGTTGTTTTATTTTTGCATTAAATGAGAAACCTTTGCAGAACCACAGGCTGTCCCAAAAATATGAAATGGTCAATTACTTAAATATTCCTGTGCTGAGAATAATGATCAAAGTGATAACTTGCAATAAAAATCTGAGAATAATTTTACCACTTTCTTGGCCCTCAGTATTGTACCATCTGGGTGAAAATTTTACTTAAAATGAGCAAAATTCTCATTTAGAATTAAGAAAGAGAGGTATGACTTCTGTAAAATATTAAAGTTGAATATTTAGAGATTTAATTAAATTTCAGTAATCCGAAGAATATTTTTAACCAGAATATCACGTCTCCACTCTCCCCAATAATTCCAGCTAATTGAGGCATCATTACAACCTATTACGTTTCAGAGTTGAACTCTTACAACAGGAAAATGGCTCAGTCTGTCATCTAAAAACAAAACTGCCATATTTCCAGTGACCTCGACAGTAATGGTTTAATAAAATAAACCGCGGGCTCCGCTTGCCTTCTGCACTGAAATCCCTCTACCTCCAGGAAAGAACAAGGTACCTTCCCGCACTAGTATTTCCTGGCCAGGGGTTCCTGGGACAGCTGTCCTTCCGGGGGTTTGCTGCCTGCCAGGCACAATGCTCAACTTCTGCACACAGTATCTCATTTTATCTGTGAGCTGGGAACACGCAGTTTTCTGCAGAGGGAGATCCTGAAGTCAAAGGAACTAGCCCAAGTTCTGAAGGCTGGTGACTGTCAGATTGAGGACTTCCACCCAGGCTGCCTGGGTCTGCCTCCTGGGTTTCTGAACAGTCAACAAGTTGATGACTATGAAGTGCCAAGATTGTAGTTCAGGCCTAGTAGTGCCCAATAAATATTAACTCTCTTTACTATTCCTTCCAAACTCATGTTATAAATTATACCCAATCCCATAAAAATTAGAGAAGATATATGAAATTTACATTCTTACCTGCTATCCTTTTCTTTCCAAATTATAAACTTAACCTTAGAGTAACTTTAGTAGTGAGTAGACACCCTTTTTTCCTATATCAATTGAAATTCAAAAAGGTTGCCTTGAAATAAACTTTACTTAATTCTTCAACTATCACTTTAATCTTTAGGCTGTGAAAAATGGCAAAAGTTTGTATTTGCTTTTATGAACTAATCCATTGGCTCTAGCATTGGTTTTATAATATAGCCTTATTGAAATTCCTGAAAATCAACATTTCATACAAATACTTAAATAATTTTTGGCCCTTCTCATATTAACGAGTCTAACCTCCTTCCTTGATAACAAGAAAAAAAAAATTCAAAATCTCTGGTCATCCGTATGAAGTAAGATTGTTCTTCTTCAACTTTTTTAGGTAGACTAGACTTTAGGTTCCATGAGGGTTGAGGACATGTCTTGTGTGTTCACTGTAGCCTCAGCAGGAGTGCAATAAATTCTGTTAAATTAATGCATAAACGATTTACCATTATTTCCTTTTATCATAAAAGGTTCCTATCAAAAGGTGGTGCTTTAAAAAAAAAACTGTGGACTTTCTAGAAAGCCATAGGTGACTAAATTTGCATATTTTTGTTGTATATATAAAATATGCGTGTTTCTTTAATGAAACCATGATGTTTATTTATACCATTTGGAATGTATTCTACATCTTTCCATCTATGTATTGGGTTATTCCTCTCAGTTTAGCCATGTGATAGGCCTTCTTCAAGGACTCCAGTTCTCTGCCCCGGAGAGAGCTGCCAGCCTGCATGCACAAAGGGTCTGGCAGGTCTCCTGACCTAAGCAGGCAGTTCCCTTGGTTTCCAGCTTCAGAGTGCAGCCAGGAAGATGCTGGCTGCATTTGCAAGAGCTACTGGCGGCCACAGGGGTGGAATCTGGGTCTGATGCTCAGGTAGGCTGGAAAGAGATACTGTCTGGGACTGTCAGGCTAAGAGGCAATTCTTGATTCAAAACCCCACTGAAAAAGCTGTACCTGTCCAGCAGAGTGACCTTGACAGGACACAAATCGAACTTGGACTAAGGCTTAGGACCAAGGCCCTCTGTCGTCATCAAGCCAGAAATCCTGTTAGATGGTTTCTTCTGAGAGCTTCACATTGAGTCTGGATGAACACAAAAAAAATCTAAGTGTAGGCAGTTTGATTTTTTTTTTTTTATAACGGTTAGGTTATAAACTGTAAAGTTGCAATACAATTTTAGAAGGAAAGTATTGTATTTTGTCTTGGTTTAAAGAGCATATGATCAGAAATGCAAATAAGGTTGCAACTAAAGGGTATTTTGGTCATTTATTGATGCTCATCCTTAGGTCTTTTTTTAGTGCGTCAACATTACGTTTTACAATTGGACCAGGTCCTGAAGTTGTGACACTAGGTCAAAAATTGTGTATGGTCAGAATAATATTGAAAATGACTTAAATTGTCTAATAAGCACACTATGCATAATATTCACTAGGAAGCTTTACAGTAACATATATGTACAAACATGTAATATTCACAGTGAAAACTGAAGAGTACATGTAAAAATATAAGTTGACATTATTTCATCACATTTTATATAAAGTAGCCTTAGCATAAGTTAAATCCATTTCCAACAAGTAAATTATGTATAATTAGAATACAGTATAAAAAGTACTGGATTAAATTTCAGAAAATTAGATACAACGCCCATCTCTACACCTAACCAAAATGACCTTAAGCAAGTCACTCAATTTGTCATTATTGGAACTTGAACCCTTTTCTCTAGTTCTGAGTTGAGTGTTTTATTCATTATATCATAACCAAGAAAGTAGCAGTGCATTTTAATGATAGATTCTCCTCCCTCTTCCCCTCCCAGCACTGACTTGATAGCCATAGAGGATAATGGAATTCCCACTCTGGAATCCGTAAGGTGATCCCTCTATTAACAACCCCAATTTCGATCCATATGCTAGATCCTGATTCCACCCATCCCACCAATGGCTCTGGACAGCACTGCCATTTCTGATGGCAGATATCTCCCAATAAATGTAAATATTGTGAAATTTTCCCAACAAAAAAAAGAAGTTTATTTTCAATAACCTAATAATAGATGGATGGGGTTGGGCACAGTGGCACATGCCTGTAATCCCAGCATTTTGGGAAGCCAAGGCAGGCAGATCACTTAACATCAGGAGTTCGAGACCAGCCTGGCCAACATGGTGAAACCCTATCTGTATTAAAAATACAAAAATTAGCCAGGCATGATGGCTCATGCCTATAGTCCCAGCTACTTGTGAGGCTGAGGCAGGAGAATTCCTTGAACCCTAGGAGGCAGAGGCTGCAGTGAGGCAAGATTGCACAACTGCACTCCAGCCTGGGTGACAGAGTGAGACTCATCTCAAAATTCTAATTAATTAATTTTTAAAAATAGATAGGTAGTAATTTAATAAAAGTATTCAGAAGACCATCTTAGACAGTTTTATTGGTTCTCATATAATGCTAACTCTGCTTTTCATAGAGAACAAATCAGAAAATCAAGCTAAAGTGAATATGGCATTGAGCATTATGAATGCACAGATGCCATACAGGGAGAGCATAGGTGGATATACACTGTTTAATGTGCTGAATGTCCTCAGACAGCAGTTCTTAAGTCATCTCGCTGATGACATTTCCCATCTTTTCAGAGAAATCAAATGAGATAGATAAGTTAGTAAACAGGGCACAGATGTTAGAATGAAAAATCAAAGGAAAACGTATATCCAATCAAGAATTACATAGACATCATCAAATGGCATCTGCTATGTCATGGACCCCTTTCCTAAGGCAAAGGAAAAAACATGACGTTAGTTTTATTGTTTAAAACTCGATTGGACAAAGTTGGTTAGGGTCCATCATAGGAAGAACCCCAGCCAGGAGAGCATGAATTAGCTGCCCCAGCACAGGTAATTTCCAGACTATTTTCAAGGTAGCATGAAGCAAGACAGAAAAACACAATGTGTGCCTTCAAATGTATTTCACTAGTTCAAATACATTTAAGTTAATACATTAAGATGTAACTAACTATTTCAAGAGAGCCCATAACATTTTTAAAGCCAAACTCTTCATTGTATTAAAAACTCTGAAAGCTCCTTTAAATTCTTTCAATTCCTATAATAAACTCTTCCTGTTCTTTTGAAAAATTTAAGTTGAGACCAAAAATGAAAGTACTTTGTGCTTTGAGTAATTATAGATGTATAAGACATAAAACCATTTTACCTTCCTGTTTTCCCCGCCAGTAACAATTTAAAGTTGGAAACAAGGTTTGTTTTTCTGTAAATAACAGAAGAATTTAGGTGGCAGATCCTCAGTGAATTTAGGAAACAAGACTTCCCACTGAAGGAGAGTGTGATTCAGGGAGTGCCTGTGTTGCTCCCGTGGGCCTGTGTGGTATCTGTGGCACGTGTTGCATCTGGACTTGTGGAGTGTTTCCCCCCAGCAGAAACCAGAGTGTTCACAGGGGCCCTTGGTCTGAATGCTTCTAGCGCATTCCTAACAGGGAACATACAGTAGCCTATTGGACAACTCTTTCTTTTCTTTTGTTTTTTGTTTTTGTTTTGGTTTTAAGACAGCATCTCACTCTATCACCAAGGCTGGATGGTGTGTAGTGGCACCATCTCGGCTCACTGCAGCCCTGACCTCCCAGGCTCATGTGATCCTCCTACCTCAGCCTCCTGAGTAGCTGGGACTACAAGTACATACCACCATGCCTAGTTAACTTTTTGATTTTTTTTTTTTTAGAAAGAAGGTCTCACTATTTTGCCCAGGCTGGTCTCAAATTCCTGACCTGCAGTGGTCCTCCTGCCTCAGCTTCCTAATGTGCTGTGATTACAGACACGAGTCACTGTGCCTAGCCTAGACAACTTTTTCAATATTCTCCTCCCAAATACCTATTCTTGCATGTTGGTGTCTAAAATTCCCTTTAGTCAAGGCTAAAGCCTTTCATTACCCAAAAATAGATAAGAGGCTACACGTGGTGGCTCATACCTATAATCCTAGCACTTTCCCTCATCTTCCTGTCTTCTTCTGAGCCCTCAACACTCTTCTAACCTCAGCCCATTACCCAGTTCCAGAGTCACTTCCATATTTTCAGGTAGCTCTATAGCAGTGCCCCACTCAAAAATGGTTTCCGGTTCATTGGTTCTTTTGGCATGGATGTAAAGCACTCAGGAATTCCTTCCAGTTGTAAAATTGAAGCTCACCTTTCAGCAGGCAGGCTCCTTCTGAGACCTGGATCTTCTCTGGTTCTTCTGGACAGATGCTTAGCAAAAATGACAAAGGCTGCAACAACCATGCATGTGACTGATGCCGCTCACTCCTTTACGAGCTCTCTCTCTCTCTCTCTCTCAGTTTGACTGTCACAGCTTCCACCTGCCTCCTGGCAGTGCCATTCCCTGCCATTCCCATCTGTATGTCCCTTCCAGCCCAGTGTCACTCTCACTCACTACCTGCTCTCAGCCTCATCCCTGTGGATTCCAGTACTCAGTTTGTCTCCACACTTGTCCTCTCCTCGTATATCACGTAAGGGTTCTCTTAGTTATTCTTGAATTTATATTATTAACAAACATGGAAGAGTGGGAGGGAAATGGAGGCAGTTTCAGTTTAAAAACCTACAAAGTAGACAGAGTCTGCCCTGTGCACCTGTCAGAGCACTGGTCAGGGTGACTCCTGGCTTGGCTCCCTGCCCCGGCCTCCAGCTTCCCAAACCCTGCCCTCCTCAGTGGAAAGGGCCTGTTTGGTCCCAAGGAAGATTCTTCTTCACCCTCCTTTCCTCTCTTTTCTCATCAAGACATCCAGGTTGCCTCCAGAGCATGCAGACCCGGTGGTTTGTTGGGGTGAGAGGTGGATGTGGATATGTCTTCATCTCACTCAGCTCCACCCCTGCCCAGCTGGCCTCCTTACCAGCCATGTTGGATCATGACTGGCCCTCCACTGGTGCTGTCTTACAAAACTTCCAGAATCAGACGCTGTCTTCTCCCACCCCATAAAACTATTTCTGAGCATTTTCCATGGCCCCATGACCATGCCTTTGAAATCCTGCCTCTTGTGCTTGTTTATCAGATCAGGGTCAGGGAGACCCTCCCTCCCTTATCTCTGTGGCCTTTCTTGGGCCCCTGCCCTGTCCTCCTTGGCCACACTACCATTACAGGGCCTCCATTACCTGCAGAGGGTCTACTCTGGGTTGAGCCTTCCAGGCATGTGTGGTGGGCCAAAGCCCTTTGGGTTCACTCAGCCACTGCTAAATAGTTGGGGCCCAGCCTTAGGCTCACAGACTAGCATACCCCCTCTTTGGCATCAGACCACACCCTCTAAGTCCCCATTGTCGGACACAGGAGATAGGTGGGGGCATTCCCAGAGGCCACCCCTCAGAGCTGATTCATAGAAAGCAAAGCGCGAATTCCCTTGTTTGGTCCTTGGCAGAGAGCACTGATAGGCCTCTGTGGCTGGTAGGAAATACTAACTGTGGCTAGCAGGTAGTATGAGGTATGAAGAACAACAGAATTCGAAAAAGGAGTGTCCCAGCAAGAGGAGCTATTTTACAGGTGTGTTTGTTGGCTGGATGAATACAGTGGAAGCTGTCCTACACTTTAGAAATGGAATAAATGGAGTTTTGCTTTGCAGTAGTTAACCTCAATTCCATATCGTAAAATTATCAGTCTATTTCTGGCATTCAGCATTTATGTCTCAAGGCAAAGCCCTCATACACCCTTGGCCACCCTTTCCTCCTCAGCTGCCAAGTCTGACTAGAATATGGCAGCCGCAGCCTGCAAATAACATTCTTGGCTCTCAAGACAGTGCCTGTTTCAAATAATCTGTCATTTATCATTTATTTATCAAACTGAAATTGCATAGCCCCTTAGTTCTAAACACTGTCTCATTATCAGGTTATGTGGCCCTTTTCTACTTCATGAAATGTGGACACCTCATCCTTTCCTAGCTCCTCGAAAGATAATGACTTTGGGGGAGCCAGTCACGTGCCTGTGTATCTCCCCATTATGAGACCTAGGACACAGATTGTGTTTTTAATACAGTACAACTCTAAGGAGAGATATATGAACAAAAATATCATTTAAGGCCAGAAGCAGTGGCTCACACCTATAATCTCAGCACTTTGGGAGGCTGAGTTGGGCAGATTATTTAAGCTCTGGAGTTGGAGACCAGCCTGGGCAACATGGCAAAAACCCATCTCTACAAAAAAATACAAAAATTCGCCTGGTATGGTGGAATGCTTGTGATCCCAGGTACTCAGGAGGCTGAAGTCGAAGGATTATTTGAGCTTGGGGAGGTTGAGGTGGCAGTGAGCCATGATCCCACCACTGCATTCCAGCATGGGTGACAGAGTGAGACCCTGTGAAAAAGAGAAAAGAAAAAAGAAAAGAAAAGAAAAAAAGGGAGGGAGGAGGGAGAAAGGAAAGGAGAAGAAAGAAAGGAGAGAAAAGGAAAGGAAAAGGGAAAGGAAAGGGAAAAGAAAGGAAAGGAAAGGAATTATTTGAGGCAGTAATGTAAAAAAATCTCCTCTCTCTGACGTAACTCCCTCAAAATCCATTGACCATGGACCAAGATAGCCAGCTGGTTCTCACACCACCCACACACCTATCGTAAAGCAAAATCCCTTTAGGGCTGCATAAGGTAGATCTTTAAATTGCTCCTAAGACCAGGAAGGTCTAACAGTTTTATGTGCATGTATTCCCTTTTGTTCTGCAAAGAACCAGGAAAATGGGTTATTGGCTAACCTGAGAAATGGGGGAATACACAGTGACTGCTTTTTAACTAAATAGTCTCTTCAAGCAAAGCCAAATCTAAATCACTGAGTGACTCCCGGTGATAAGAACAGTGATTCTCAGACTTGAGGGAGCACCAGTATCCCGGAGGGCCTTTTAAAACACACCTCACCAGGCTCCACCCCCAGGGTTTATTCTAGATTCAGGAAGTCTGAGTGGTCCCCAGTTCTTGCAGCTCTAACAGTTTTCCAGGTGATGTGGATGTTGCTGGTAGCCACGATGCTACTACATACAGGCTCCGTAGGTTCTGTCCCATAGGAATGTCCCTAGCTTCATCTGTGCTTGTACCATCCCCCACCCCTGTGATCACCATGGATACCTCACCTCAGAGTCACTTGAGCCTCTCTGCGTTCCTTGGTGTCTTCTGTCCTTGCACCTGGATGCAGCTGTGTTAGCCAATTGCTTTGCCGACAGCATTGCACCCTCCAAGGCAACGTCCAGTCGCCCTTCAGCTCAGGTGAGGTGTGCTCTTCTCTGGCAATCCTTCTGCCCCCAATTTGCCCCTCCATAGTACCCTGGGCATACCTGCAGCACTGCAAGTATCATGCAGTTTTCTGAACACTGATTAACTCATAGGTGTCCCTGGTGTGTCATGCCTTGTGTAGAATAGATGCCCAGTTAAAGTTTGTTCAATGTGATGCGCCCATTCACTGAGCAAGCTTATGGAGTAGCTACTGTTTATGTTGGAAAGCAGGTAAGGGCGGGGGGCGGGGGGGCTGCAGAAAATGCACAAAGATGAAAAAGACTGTCCGCCCAACTTATCACATAAGGGAAACGAGGACAGATTACATTTTAAGTGGATTTGGAGGAATCTAAAAAGAAAATGTTCAATTCATTTCCCAACTAAATTATTCAACATGCCTGAGAAAGACAGGGTTCTTCAAACATGAAATTCTGCAGTGAGGCTTTTAGCTGACTCTGGCCAACAGGTGAATTCTGCACATCCAGCAAAAGTCATTTCCTTTCAATGGGAAGGGGCGGGAGGCATGAGGGAAACAGAATATGGCTGGTGGTCTTCAGCACAAGAGATGCCTGTTCTAATCAGCCACATCCAGGAAGGTACGGTGAGCGTTTGCACGTCTACTGTTTTACTGTCCCTTTAAATGATGAAGCATCTGCCACCGGCGGCTTGCAGCAGACTGATTAGGAAGGACGTATAAAATACAGTCACTTGCACACTGTGCAAATACATTGACACGGTGCAACTGTTGTCATGGAGATCAAAAGAGAAGGTTTCTTAAAGGAAGTGGGGGTTGGGAGGGATTTGGAAGCTGGAGAAAGGGCGTCTAGGAGGATGAAAGGAGGCTGTTTAGGAGGACTACAGGAGAAAAAAAAACCCGCCAGGCCAGGAAAGGGGAGAGAGAGGAAAAAACCTGCCAGGCCACCACAGATAAATGAAAGAAATGAGAAGAAATCAGGATCATTACTGGATCCAAAGGCAAATGAATGGGGGAGTAAAGTTCAACACAGAAAAAACAATCTTTGTGTGAGAAACCTAACAATGAGCAGGCATGACCTTCCCTTGGATTTGCACTGCATTCAACAGGATTTGAGAAGAGGCAAACAGAAAGCACTCACTTCGGAAAGCAGTCTGTTGTTTGTAAATGCGTCCTCAAGGATTTCTTTAATTTAAGCACATTTCTAAATTTCAACATTTTCCCCTGTGGAAAGGACCTCATTTTACTGAGTTCTTAAATAGGAGTAGAAGGGAGCCCTTAGGGGTTTTTTTGGGGGGTTTTTTGTTGTTGGGTTTTTTTTTGTTGTTTTTTGGTTTTTTTTTTTTTTTTGGTTTTTGTGGGTTTTTTTCATATACTTACTTTTCAAAGGACTCCTTTAATTTGTCTTAAGATGACTGGTTACCAAGTGAGATTTGCTGTCAATCTGCAGGTCCATCATCATAAAAACATGTAACCCACCGGCTGGCGGAATAAGTGAGCAAATTCTCTTTCTGGAATCATTCTTTTAAGAAGGACAAAAATGAATGACAGTGTCCAAATAAATTGGCTCATCAGAAGCTATTTTCATCCCTGGTGGGGCCTGGGCAATGAAGCTCAACCCCTCCAAATCCTGCCTCAACCTGTCATCCTTCTGTGTAGGCCAGCAGGCTAAGTCCCAGCACGGAGGCCAACCCTCAGCTTGAATCCACACTCCCCGGCTGTCACATTGGACTGCTGAGTTCTCCGCTTCTCTTCAACAGCTAAGCCAGGCCTCTCTTCAACAGCTAAACCATGTGTCTGCAGTTGAGGAATTCCTTCTGACTTCATACCTTTGCCATCAGTCCTTTACCCAGTTAGATTATAAACCTGTATCTGCGATCATTCTTACCCATCTCTTTTCTTGCACCTCATGTGTGTTCAAAACCATTCTCTTCTCCATCTGCAAGAGCATCTTCTGAGAGCATCCCAGTGTTGAAGCCCTGATTTAGACAGGGGGAAATAGTAAGTGAGATTACATTCTGTAGGGTTCCTTGCATTCTAGAGCTTGCAGTGCTATTCTTTGAAACCACATGTTTCATCGAGAATGGTGGCCACCAGAGGAGGTGGAAGTGATGAGTGAATGAATGCCAGTGGAGACCAGGGAGGGAGAGGGCTTCTTGGTGGGAGTGGTCTAGGGAAGAGCCCTGGTGAGCTGGAAGCTGAGCTGGCCTGCAGAGAAGGAGTAGAGGGGATATTCGTTGAAAGAAGAAAGAAGAACATTTTTTGACAACAGTTTTTATAAGGTGGGAATATGTAAGAGAGTTGGGATCCCCACCCTCTTTCAGGCAGTCAGAGAGGAACCCAGGTGAGCAAGCAACACCCAGGAGGCATTAGTCTTGAAAGATGAGGCAGAGATCAGATCTCACAACAGGTACTAACTGAGATCGGGAGACAGAGATCAAAGAGGCATGGTCAAAGTGGTTTCATAGGAAATTTGTGTTCTCCAATATTATGCAACTCAGATTCAAAATACGTTTCCAGATCCCTACCTGATTTCTTCTTTTCCTTTTCTTCTTACCCCACCATTAACCTCATTCACTGAGTTTCATGAAAGTGAATCATTATTTCTACCCATGTGTCAATTGTTCTACAGTGCTAATTAACAACCTTAATACAGTGTTCTAAAGATCATTTCCCTATGAGGATGTATTCTCTATACCCCAGAAAACCATCTCCCTTTGTTCCAAGTAGACACATGCTCCAAGCAAAAATGGCTAAAGCATCATTCAAAACAATTTTCCAGTAAAGGATCTTATGCACTAATTTTTCTTGGGAATATGAAGCCCACTGCCAGACAAATGAATTAAAATGTCTCCACTAAACACACCTTCCACTCCTGCTGACTTGTCCATAACTCAGCGTGAGCCTCTAGTGTCATTTTTGAAAACCTGAACTACAGGCCCTAACATTTCTTACACTTAATATACAAAATCCCTACATTTATAGATTTTTTTCAGAGGGTGTTTTAAAATACATCCGCAAGGATTTCTTTAATTTAAATACATTTCTAAATTTCAATCTGACTAGTCTATCTACAAATTAATAAAGTAACTTAAACTTTCCCTGGTAGAGTAAGAATTTTTGCTTGCTTTTATGCATAAAAATATATAATTTTCTCTTCGTGTGATCCATTAAATTTTCCTCTGATTAGAAATGCTATGCATAGTATAACTTTACAAAACTAGCAAACTTTGCAAAAGGGTGAAAAGTTCTCTGAGGCTCTATGAGTGGTTAATACCAAATACAACTTTGGAGAATTCCTACTCTATACTTGCCTTGAGATAGTTGTTTTAACATATTTGACCTTTTGTTTCTTCATCTGTGAAGAAGTATACTTATACTCTGTGGGGTTTTTGTGGGAAAGAAAATGAAATAATATACATAAAGCACCAATTACAATGGGAAGCAAACAGTGTTCAGTAAGTGGAAGTGGAGGTGGTAGAGGTGGTAGTAGTTGTAGTGGTCATTGTGGTGGCATTCATGTTGGTATTGGGATAGTGATGGAATGATGGATGGTTGTGGTGATAATGATGTTGGTGTTGGAATAGTGATAGAGTGATGGATGGTTGTGGTGATAGTGATGTTGGTGTTGGGATAGTGATGGAATGATTGATGGTTGTGATGACAGTGATGTTGGCTTTGGGATAGTGATAGAGTGATGTATGGTTGTAGTGATAGCGATGTTGGTGTTGGGATAGTGATGGAATGATGGATGGTTGTGGTGACAGTGATGTTGGCATTGGGATTGTGATGGAGTGATGGATGGTTGTGGTGATAGTGATGTTGGTGTTGGGATAGTGATGGAGTGATGGATGGTTGTGGTGATAGTGATGTTGGTGTTGGGTAGTGATAGAGTGATGGATGGTTATGGTGATAGCAATGTTGGTGTTGGAAGAGATGGAGTGATAGATAGTTGTGGTGGTAGTGATGTTTATATTGGGATAGTAATGGAGTGATGGATAGTTGCGGTGATAGTGATGTTAGTGTTGGGATAGTGATAAGAGTGATGGATGGTTGTAGTGATAGTGATGTTGGTGTTGGGATAGTGATAGAGTGATGGATGATTGTGGTGATAGTGATGTTGGTGTTGGGATAGTGATGGAGTGATGGATGGTTGTGGAGATAGCGGTGTTGGTGTTGAGATAGGGATGAAGTGATGGATGGTTGTAGTGATAGTGATGTTGGTGTTGGGATAGTGATAGAGTGACAGATGGTTGTGGTGATAGTGATGTTGGTGTTGGGATAGTGATAGAGTGATGGATGGTTGTGGTGACAGTGATGTTGGTGTTGAGATAGTGATGGGGAGATGGATGGTTGTGGTGATAGTGATGTTGGTGTTGGGATAGTGATAGAGTGATGGATGGTTGTGGTGATAGCCATGTTGATGTTGGAATAGAGATGGAGTGATGGATAGTTGTGGTGGTAGTGATGTTAATATTGGGATAGTAATGGAGTGATGGATAGTTGTGGTGATAATGATGTTGGTGTTGGGATAGTGATGAAGTGAAGCATCTTTTTAGTAATAGTGATGGTAACATCAAGGATGATAATGGAAGTAGTAGAGGTTGAAGTGTGGTTTGTTGGTGAAGTTTGTGATAAATATGGTGGTAAAGTTGGAAGAAGTGATAGAGGTGCTTCTACCTTTAGGTTATTTCTATGGCGGTGATGTTGATACTGGTGGTTGTAATGTTGGTGATGTCAGTGGTGGAGATGCTATTGGTGGTGGCGGTCGTGTTCACAGTATTTTTGGCAGAGATGAAGCTGGTGGTGATGATGGTGGTAGAGATGGTAGTAGTGATGGTGGTGGCTTGGCTGTGTGGGGGACCTGAGGGAGTGACACTGATGTTGGCAGTGGTGACAGTGACCTGCAGAGGTGGTATGCATTGATTGGTGGTGGTGGTCATCATGGTGGAGGTGCCAGTTAGTGTTGTAATTGAAATAGGAAGATAACCTAGAGATGAGTCAGCACACTACCTTTTTTAAAAAAACAGCTTTATTGAGATACAGTTAGCATGCTGTAGCATTCCTATTTTAAGTGTATGATTCAGTGGTATTTCATATGTTTACAGAGATATGCAGCCATAACCATAATTGTAAACATTTTCATCACCCCACAGGGAAAGCTTGCAACCACTGGCAGCTGCTCCCATCCTCCCCCACTACCTTTTAAGTCTGTTTTTAAATTGTATAGTTTGGGAAACTGCAAGCTATGAAACTGGAAGTATATGTTCTTTATAGGAAACACATCTCACTTCCTCAGGTGCAACAATTTATTCTGCATGAAAACTGTGGATCGTATTAGCACCCTGAAAAAAGAAGGATGTAAAAACACTACTGCCATCAAATAACTCATAACTCCACTCAATATATTTCATTTCAAAATTGGAATATTAAGAAAAATAGAGGAGAGCTCTCTTGTTTGTTCCTTGTGATATAGTCCCTTAACTTACCGTAGTATATTACACATCTGGAAGAATAATAACCAAAAAAGCCCTATCTCATTAACAGCCAATTGAAGCATGGACTTTAAAAATAAGACAGTCATCTACTTGTGGGACTTGAGTTCAATAAATAGAAACAGAGAAACTGTATTGTGAAGATGTTTAACATAGCATTTGTGGTAGTAAATAAACCCGGAAACAATATCCCCAACAATAAAAAAAATGGTTAAATAAAATAAAACATCACTATGATGGAATATGATATTTAAAGACTATGAAGTAAAGATGGGAATATAATCATAATAGCATATTAAATGAAGAAGAAAAATTCAGACACCAAGTTGCACAGGCTACAAACACAGCTATGTGGGGCAAAACACTTTACTTTAGATGAATAGGCTGAAATGCATCAAAATGTGAATAGAGTTGCATTGGATAGAAATGGTGGTGGTTTACTTTTATTATAAAAATGAGATAATTATTCTGCACAATATTTTGCAGAAGTATCAACTAAGAAAAAATAAGCTTTATTTTGGAACTCACAGGACTAAAATGTAGTTCTTCTAAGAAAAATGTAAAGAATTTTCTTTTTCTTGTTAACAAAATATTGAAATGGAACAGAACAAAAACACCTGTGTTATCTATTATACTTAAGCTTCTTAGAATGTGTTTTCACCCATGGGGAGGAAAAAAAGGGAAGATTTCTCCATTCTACCTGCAAAACAGATAACAGGCAGGATTCATCCCGCCAAACTGGAGGAACTACATGTCAGCAAGCAGGTCCCTTCATTCTTGTGGAGGATTTAGCTAAATTGGTTACTCTCTGAAAACATTTTCTCACAGGCATTTGACTCTACTGTCTACACTTCTTGACCTGACTCCACATTCCCCATACTGTGAATCCAACTTGCTGTCTTAGGGAGCCTTCAAGCCTCACTGGGAGCCAGTTGAACAATTAGAATATTTAATGGATGTAAACCTCATTTAAAAATAATATTATTTTATTTGGGTCACTATATCTAACATTAAAACACTGTGTAAAATAGGGGAAATCTCCTTGTTGGTAAATTTGACTTATAGGTGATGTTGGCAGAGAAATTAATTTGATTGATTAATTAGGTTACATAAATGCAATTCAGTGGTTGCAGCAAAACAATTTTCACGTAGAGTAGTTGAATTTTCAAAACACAGAATCTTGATATCTATTTCTAAACAGTGTGAAAAGCCATAGCCCATCAATGCAAAAGCCAGCACATCTGTGGATTCAGAGGTGCATAGACATTTGTTTATAATAAAAAAGGTATGAGCTCTTCTACCAGGATCTAACTCTGAGCCAACAGATACAAATAATAAATGGTTTACGTGACTGTTTCACTGACACCTGCTGGCACCATGAATATACTACATTAGATTGGCTATTGGGAAAAGCAAGTGGAATCCAAGAAAATCATAAATGGAGAAACTTGCTGTGAACAATAAAACTGATTTTACTGCTCTTGAATAAGTCAGAATGACTACTAATGACAGTCTGAGGCATGGAATCCCCTGGGAAGTTATTATTAGGCAATCCATAAGTGTTTGCTGAATCCATCAGTGCTGCTCATCAGCTCAAAACCTTCTTCTGATTTCTTCCTGTCTGCCCTGCCCTGGTCACATTTGGCGGGTTTTCAAGGTCTTGCTCCACTCTGTCTGTTCCCTCCTGACTCACTGCTGGGCAGGTGCACACCCTCTGCAGGCTCCACTCACCCCATCCTCCTTCCACTTCTCTGAGCCATGCCCCACCAAGCCCACCTGGACTCTGAGTCTTCCCACCACTTCAGAACACCCACACTAACACTTTCTGGGTGCCTGCTGGCCTTCACCTCCCTACCATGCATGTTCACACTTCATAGTTCTCTACAGATTCTTAAGTGCTTATTTCCTCTCTCCAGGTCGATTATAAGCACTTTCAGGATGGAGAAAGCTTTCAGAGCCCTGAGAGATCTAGATCCATAATTTGTACTTAAATGTATGTGTGTATATGTATATGCATACATATGTACATGTATACATATATACATACACATGTATGTGTGTATATATACATACATACACACACATGAACAAACATATCTGTTGACTGCCTGAAAGTCTACAAAACCTTTATTTCCTAGAGCCTCATCTTGCTCATCTTGGTGGCGTTCGTATACCTTTTTTTTTTTTTTTTGAGACTGAGTCTTGTTCTGTCACCCAGGCTGGAGTGCAGTGGTGCAATCTCGGCTCACTGCAACCTCCACCTCCCAGATTCAAGTGATTCTCCCATTTTAGCCTCCCAGGTAACTGGGAGTACAGACGCCCACCACCATACCTGGCTAATTTTTGTATTTTTAGTAGAGACAGGGTTTCACCATGTTGGCCAGGCTGGTCTTGAACTCCTGACCTCAAGTGATCCGCCTGCCTCAGCCTCCCAAAGTGGTGGGATTACAGGCATGAGCCACCACACCCGGCCTTATACCATTCTTGAAAAGGCTCCAGTTTCTAAATAAAGTCCTACACATCGGCCTAAATCCTACTTTGACCTGGTGGACCATCTTCACATCAGCAGGGTGGAGTTAGCACCAGTCTCTCTCTTACCCCCAATTTAATCACCCCCAAATGATTCTAGAGTGACTCAGGGCTTCATGAAAGAGATTACCTTTCTGTAGGATGTGCACTCACCTTCACATGCCAGTTTTCAATCTGGAAACACCGTGATTCTGGGATATTTCCTTAGAATATAAGCTCCATGAGGACAGGGGTCTTTTGTTTTCTTACATTTCCAAACTCAATTCTGTTCCCTGGTGCCTGGAACAAGGCCTGGCACAGAGCAGCGAGCCCAAGAGTTCTTGCTGGGTGCAGGCCTGAGGGTCAGTCACACCCCATCGTAAGTGTACCTGGAGATGCCACAAACGTGATCTGTATTTTGACACTTTCTCGCCAATTAGACAAGTCAACCAGGACAGCATGAAGGACAGAATGAGAGCGCAGGCTCTGGGGCCAGACACCTGGGTTCAGATTCCCCTGCTGCCATGTATACTCAGGTGACCTCCAGTGTCCATTGACGGTCCGATGGCTCAGAGGGGCTGAGAGGGCCGGATGCACTCACAGGTAAAGCAAGGGTGCCTGGCACAGACCAAGCACTGCACGTGGCTTTGTGGCTGCTGCTGGACCACCGCCCCAACATCATGGCAATGACTCCACTTTATTTCTGCTTTCCTACGTGGGTGTGGGCATTGATGTCGCTCTTGTCCTACCTCAAGACTTCTTTAGTGTGTTCTTTTCTCTCCTGTTTAGGCTCCCAAGAAACATTTGCAAAATGGGATTATCCGTGGCTACCAAATAGGTTACCGAGAGTACAGCACTGGGGGTAACTTCCAATTCAACATCATCAGTGTCGACACCAGCGGGGACAGTGAGGTTTACACCCTGGACAACCTGAATAAGTTCACTCAGTACGGCCTGGTGGTGCAGGCCTGTAACCGGGCCGGCACGGGGCCTTCTTCTCAGGAAATCATCACAACCACTCTCGAGGATGGTAGGTTCGGCCAGGCCCTGGTGGTGACTTCCCCTCCGCAAAGGTTCCCTCAGGTCTCCCCCGGGGCTCCCCCAACCTCGCCGCCCCCCCTCCTCCCCCCACTGACTTTGCAGTGCCCTGCAGGGCCTGGGGTCTCAGGTGGGAAAGCCTTGCCTCGTGACCTCGCCCACCTCACTGATTCACACCCCTCCGTTAGGGCTGGGTTGCAAAGCCAGCAAGTCCCTCGCTTTTCAGACTCTTCCTCATTCATTTCGGGGACAAGAATTGGGCTTTTCTGGAGTGAAAGCAAGGCTCTCCCTATTACTGCAGAAGTCTCAAGAGAATGCAGAAATGCTGTTTGCTAAAAAACTTTCTCCCAAATGTTAAGAAGGTTTTTTAAATTTATTTTTTTTTAATTGCTTTCTATTTTCAAGCATTCTGAGCACAGAGAAAAGGAATTTTCAGATCGCACGGTGATCAATCGCCCCCTAGCGGCCAAGATGAATTAATTAGCCCTTCCACGGTGACACCGAATAACCCAGAAGCTCGAATTTCCAGTAGTGTTTGGAAATAAAGAACCCTGATATCCAAAGGCATAGTGTTTTAGGCAGAAAGTTAAGATATGGGGTTATTTGTAGCAATAAGTGGTAGCTTTCAAGGCAGCAAGCTGGAACTGCATTTACCTCTTGTGCAGTTAGCCATTTGATCATAGCTCCACCTCCCAGGTTCACGCCATTCTCCTGCCTCAGCCTCCCAAGCGGCTGGGACTACTGGCGCCCGCCACCACGCCTGGGTAATTTTTTGTATTTTTAGTAGAGACAGGGTTTCACCGTGTTAGCCAGGATGGTCTCGATCTCCTGACCTC